CGGGACCAAAGGCCCCCTGCCTAGGCTCGGCGCACCGGCCACGTGGAGGCCTATATGTCCCGGTTTGTGTTAGAACCGGGACTAAAGGGGGTAGGTATTAGTAACGACCCATTAGTTCCGGTTCATGAACCGGAACTAAAGGCCCTTACGAACCGGGACAAATGCCCCCTTTTCTACTAGTGCCTGCTCGCTCTTGAATTTTACAAACCCATGGCCCTCGTGTAGATATGTAACCCATCATTTTTTATATATGTGAAAAGGGATCAGTGGCATAGTTGAAGCTCTAGCATGTTTAAGTTTCAAGTAAACCTATTCAGAATTAATTAACTATAGAAAAGAAAACATATTAGCGAGGAAGCATGAATCATATCTAAGGGATAGGAAAATGGCATCGATAATCTGCCACATAAATCATGCTTCCTATAGGAAAATGCCATAGATTATACCATGGGAAGTAATAGAAACAAACTGAGAAGCTGAGTGCATGCCTGCGAGATAGGAAAATGGAATGTAAGAGAGTGGCACTTCGGTTTCTTTAGGCTGTTCAGGTATGTTCTCTCTTGCAGAGAAACTTAGTATTGGTTTTGAGGCAGCAAGGTTCTCTTGCTTATGGGTTTCCTGCCCAAGTTAGTCTTGTTGTTTGTTTCAAATATTCAGTTTGAGGTCTAAATTTCACTAATATATGGCTTTTATTTACGTTCTCTACAACATACTAATTCATCTGCATCTTAGAAATCATATTTCCATGTGCAAATAAATAAAATTTACTTCTTATTATACCTCACACGACTGATGAGGTGAGAATGGAAACTTAACCTTCCATAGATCAGCATAATGAAGCTACTGATTATCCTAGAAACTAATTTGGGCACTCAATTTCTATGAGATAGTCAAAAAATGCATCATAGAAATACAGAAGTACATCAGTAGTGAGAGCAAATAACTGATGATATACGATAAGTCGATAGTGTCCATGCAAGGGAAACATTATGAAATGAACAATGGACAAAGTTTAAAGAGGTCATTTCTTGTAGCATTTGAACTTGCCCCTATTTTTGCAGTGATGCCAATCAGCGCCAAGTAAAAAGCTCATTCATAGCTAACCTAGTAGCTAATTTAAGAGCCTTTTAGCGTTCGAAGAAAGGAATAGTATGTATATAAGTATATTGTGTTAAATGGGAAAACAAAAGAGATCCTCAACCACAGAATTAATATCAGTCGTAATGATTAAACCTTCTGTTCTATGGGTCTTACCGCAGCATGACAATGATAGTAAAATGCTTAAATTATTTTATATCTGCAAACTATGTTGCACAAGTTCGTAGAATGGATGAACAAATCTTGCAGAATATAGTACTCGCAAAAAAAATGTGGAATATATTTTCTTTTATTGTTCTAATTCTCTTATTTAAATTTCTAGAAAAATGTACAATGAACCACAATGTACTATGGCAAGTGGGGATTATCAATCGACGAGGCACCAGTGTTCCGGTTCTGCACCTTGTTCGTGTGCTCCAGTTTATCCCCTGCTTGGCACCCTCCGCCCCGGACACCTCCGACTTCTACGGCGACGACTGCTTCTTCTTCTGTAATGCCCACGAGTGAGATATGGGCTGCGTTGAGGACTACTACGATGCCTCTCCATCAATGGCGCTGATGAGCAACTGCTCGAGCAGGTGATGATGAAGGCGAGCGTCGGCTTCGGGAGGGCGACGGAGGGCAATGCGGAGAAGGCGGACGAATTCATTGCAAAGTTCAGCACGTAGATGAACTACATCGCCAAGTCTCGGGGCCGCAATACAGAAAATGAAGGAGAGGAGCATCTGAGTTGCTCCGAATTCGATTCACTCTTAGCTTACTTGTTTATTTCTTGAATTTGATTCATTCATGAACATGCCTGTGTGCTGCCCATCTATGTAGCTGCACTTCTAACTTACCATTATATTTTATTTTCAACAACTGCTGCTCATTACACGTTAACAAATGCAGCAGCAGGGTCAGTACGCACAGTAACGCACAGGAGGGCGCGCTGCTACCACCAGTGTAAAAGAAAGAGTAGAGGGTGCCGCCGTATTGGAAGGCAGCCATGCAACGCTGGTCAAGTTCACAAAAAGAGAATTCCTTATTTATTCTCCGATTGTTGTATTGTGAATTGCTTTTCGGAACATTCACAATCATATGTTCAATTTATATTATGATTCCATTTGGTTTTCTTTGATGAAATCTCTAATTTATAAAGTTATGCAGAATTTGCGAGAGGTGAGCCCTTCGGCACGGAACAGGTCCCGTGAACGCGTCCGTAAAACATTTGCTGGACGGGTTTACGGGACATGTTCTGCCAGAGAGTTCACGGTACCGTAAAAAAGTTTTGTGGAGCGGCCAGTTGCGGGACCTGCTAGAGATGCTTTTATCCTTGATCAATAAAGCGCGACTGGTCCTACCTTAGCACGACGACTTCCCGACTATGCATTTCAAAATAAATAGTTCAATTTCGTTATTATTACAACTCAAACAAACAGTTTATCGTTCAAACAACAAATAGTGCAATAAACACAACAAATAGTTCAACAATACAATGTCGAACGCACTAATCATGATGCTCTTTGTCGTTCATTCCATGCCCACCACTTCTCAATGAGATCCTTCTGAAGATCATCATGCGCTGCGGGACGTCGAATGGCATTGGTAGGAGGCAACAAAACGGGCGACCCTTTCAGCCCTCCGTCGCACTCGCACGGGATGTCCCAACAGCTCATACTGAGAGTAGTTTACATCTTGGCCATGCTCATTCTCGATGATCATGTTATGCATGATCACACAAGCGTGCATGATGTACCAAAGCATTTTTTTATCCCAAAATCTAGCCGGTCCTCTCACAATAGCAAATTAGGCTTGCAAAATCCCAAAAGCTCTCTCCACATCTTTTCTAGCCGCCGCCTGAGCATTGTGGAAATCAAGATTTTTCCTACCTTCCGGCTTTTTCAACGGCTTCACAAAGGTTTGCCACTTTTGATAGATGCCATCCGCTAGATAATAGCCGTAGTTGTATGTACGACTATTTGCTACAAGCTGCACCGGTGGCAAATCACCATTTGCAATCTTATTCATCACTGGTGACCGGTTGACAACATTGATGTCATTCAAAGATCCAGGCATTCCAAAGAATACATGCCAAATCCAAGTCTCTTGATCGGCAACCGCTTCAAGGGTTATAGTGGAACCCTTTTTTGGCCGTGGAATTGCCCATTCCATGGCTTTGGACAATTCTTCCAACTCCAATGCATGCAATCTATTGAGCCAAGCATACCAGGGAAGCTGCGAACTTTGTTCATCTCCAATAGCCTTGCGACGTCTTCAGCATTGGGAGATCTCAAATACTCCTGGCCAAACACTTGCACAATTCCGAATGCGAAGCGCTTGACACACATGATGGCTTGGCTCTCACCCATAGCCAGGTGATCATCAACTAGATCAGCTGGGATACCGTATGCCAACATACGCAAAGCGGCTGTCACCTTCTGAAAGGTGCTATGCCTGAGCTCTCCGGCGGCATTCCTCCTTCGTTGAAAAAACCGGTCATGGCTAGCCAGTTTCTCTGCAATGCGCCTGAACAACTCGGTGTTCATCCTAACCCGGCGACGAAAATACGACTCTAGGTATGTGGGATTCTCCACGAAATAGTGCCTCATCAATCTGGTATGGGCATCGATCCTATCCCTCCAACTTTTCTGTCGACCCATAACCGAACCACCGTGCTTCGGTTTTTTGTTGATGTGCATAGCTAGGATCATTGCAAGATCCTCCTCCTCTTCCATATCAAATTCCTCTTCGAAAAAATCATACGACGAACTCATCTACAATGTTCAATACTATGCTATTAAAACTACAATCAACTTGCACCAAATTCATGAAGTTTGAGCAATACATACCTTGCAGGCGTTTTGTCAAACACCTTGCGGGCGCCGAGCGGCAGTGAGCGCCCGGGCGCTGTTCGTCGGAGGACGGACGCGCGCGAGGGGCGGCGGTGACTAGAGGGGGGCGGAGAAAGCCGCCGCAGCGCGGAGATAGGCCGGGGAAGCGCCGGAACGGTCGCCGGATGGCGCGGGCGGCGGCGGCGCCGCGGCTGGAGGCGAAAGGGGGAGTTGCGAGCGAGCGCGCGAGAGTCCAGCGCGCGGGAGCGGGCGCAACAAATAAGCGGCGCGCGATGGAGTTTCGGCCCGCGCGCTAAACTACATATGCCCCGCGCGCGGTTTTTGCGCGTCCGCTGGAGCCACTATACTGATTGCGCGTGCGCTAAAATGGACAATTTTACGGTCCGGCGCTTGTTTGGCGCGGCTTTTGGAGATGCTCTAACGCACCGGCCCAACCACACCGAACAGATAAAAACAAAGGAAAAAAAGAACTAGAACGCGATTCGATCCTCTGTCGCTGCCTTCGTCGTCGCCGGCGGCCGAGAGAGTGGCCGGAGATGAAGCCTGTCGGTCCGCGGCCGCTCTTTCCTCCGCCTCGCGATTCCGCCGCCCCCTTCCGTGACGGCCCCCGTCCGCAGCGTACTGCTTCCTTATCATTCGCGAGCGGAGAAAGATGAACAGAGCCCGCATCAATCATTGAGTGTCTACAGTTCCGCAGTCGCCCGGAAACTCGGTCGGTTCTACAGCGATGGGCCAATCCAGAGCCCATAGCAATCCACTATATCCATCGAGAGATCCCGCCCCCACTCCAGTAGCTAGGTTTCCACTCTCCAGGCTCCACTCCATGGCGGCGGCGGCGGCGGCTCTCGTTCCCCTGCCGGCTCGCGGATCTCGTTGACGCCCCAAACCGAGGCTGCGCTGGGCTCGCGGTGCGCCGGCGTTACACGGAGATTCCGACGGGTATGAGTTCTGTGCTGCTCATGGTTTGCTTCATTCGTTCTGCTTCATACAGTATTTTGCTCGATTTGCTCATGCTTTGCTCGATCCGTGCCGCAGCTGTTTGTATTCTTGTTCTCGTTCAAGCTATTGATGTTCTCCGCAAAGATTGTTCCCATTGGTGAATCAGACAGGCCAGGAGCGTTGGGTCCTCTGCTGGGGAAGCTCGCCGATTTGCTCGCCAATGAGTGCGGCCGGCTCAAAGGGGTCCGCCGTGAGATCCGCTCCCTCAAGAATGAGCTTGCCGGCATGCATGGTGCGCTGACGAAGTACACCAAGCAAGAGAATCCTGATGAGCAGGTGAAGATATGGGTTTCGCTGGTCAGGGAGTTGTCCTACGATACCGAGGATTGTTTTGACAAGTTCATCCACCAGCTCGGCGAAGGTGGGGGTCATGATGGCGGGTTCAAGGAGTTCTTCCGCAAGATGGCTCGCCGTCTAAAAACCCTTAGAGCTCGGCGTGGAATCGCCAACCAAATCGATGACCTGAAGCTTCGCATCAAGGAGGTGAAAGATCTCAAGACTAGCTACAAGCTCGATGATGTTGCTGGTAGCACCTCTGGCAATGCAGCCGTGGATCCCCGGCTGGCTGCTCTTTTTGCTGAGGAGGCACACCTTGTGGGTATTGACGGTCCAAGAGATGATCTTGCCAAGTGGGTTATGGAAGATGGAAACAAGCATGGTCGCAAGGTGTTATCTATTGTTGGGTTTGGTGGACTGGGAAAGACGACACTAGCAAATGAGGTCTATCGCAAGATCCGAGGGCATTTCGATTGTCATGCTTTTGTGTCGGTTTCCCAAAAGCCAGATACAAAGAAAATTATTAAGGATGTGATCTCCCAAGTGTCTTGCAACAATGAATTCATGAAAGATATTGAGATCTGGGACGAAAAGAAATCTATTTCAAAGCTAAGAGAACTTCTACAAGAAAAAAGGTAATTCTAGCATTTTTGTTTCCATAATATTTTAACTACTTGTTTCTGCATCTATTTCTGTTTTTTTTCAGTACTACTATAAAGTCTTCACAGAAGTGGAACAAACTACTATGTAGTTATGAAATATAATGGTACCGCTTTGATTCCAGTACTTCGTGAAACTGCCTAGCACAAGAAAATAACTAAAATGATTGGTCAAAGTTTGCATAAAACAATTCAGTTACAATTTAGAGGCACACACATAAGAATATGTGCCTGCGCTTAGTGTTAACAGAGGCATGAGATATATGCTTATCAACAAATTAAAGCTCCCACTGGGGCATGTGCAAGTAAATCCAAACACATAAGAATATGTGTGTAAGTAAATCCAAATACCAGAACCCTGGTGGTTGAAGTCCTACCTTACGCCTCCACTGTCCAGTAGTAAGAGTTTATAATATTAGTTTGCTTGTCTGCATTAATAATCTATCAACACGATAATTCAAGAAAATATTGATGTAAAAGATTACAATTTCATTGAAATTGCCATCATATATTTGGACAATAAGCTGTATTAAGTCATTAAGTGTGATACCCTTACTTTACTATAGTTTGAGTACGTGAAGAATGTGTAATATCATTACTGATTGATGCTATATGTTGACATCTTTCAGGTATCTTGTTATCATTGATGACATATGGTCTATAGTGGCATGGAATGCTATCAATTGTGCATTTCCAGAGAACAGCTGTTCTAGCGGAATTGTAGCTACTACACGCATATTGGAAGTAGCTAGCTCTTGTTGTCCAGGTCCTGATGACCAGATCTATGAAATGAAACCTCTAAGTGACCCTCACTCTGAAAGACTATTTTTCAGAAGAATCTTTGGCTCAGAGAATTGCTGCCCTCATATGTTTATGGAAGTTTCAAAAGCTATCTTGAAAAAGTGTGGAGGCCTACCATTGGCAATAATCAGTATTTCTGGTTTACTAGCAAACAGACCACGTGTCAAAGAAGAGTGGGAGAAGGTAAAAAGATCAATTGGTTCTGACTTGAACAAAAGCCAGAGTCTAGAGGGAATGAAAAACATACTGTCCTTGAGCTATAATGATCTTCCACCAAACCTCAAGACTGTCTTGTTGCACTTAAGTAATTTCCCCGAGGATGATGTGATTGACAGAGAAAGGTTGGTGAGGCAATGGATTGCGGAAGGCTTTATTTCTGAAGAGTGTGGGAGGAGCTGTCAAGAGGTTGCAGAAAGTTATTTTTACGAGCTTATCAATAAAAGCTTGGTCCAACCAGTGGACATTCGTTATTATGGGAAGGTGCAGGCCTGTCGAGTTCATGACATGATGCTTGAACTTATCATTTCAAAATCCATTGAAGAAAATTTCATCACTGTGGTGAACGGCAGTCAAACTGTTTGGGGAAATCCTCAATGTTCTATTCGACGTTTATCGATCCAGGACATTGACCAGGAGCTTGCATATGAATTGGCAAAGAGAGATCTAAGCCATGTCCGATCTCTTATAATAACAGCATCAGGATGCATCAAACACTTGCCCAGCCTTACCAAGTTTGAAACTTTACGTGTACTAGATTTTGAAGGTTGCCGGGGCGTGGCGCAGTATGATATGGATGGTATGGAAAAGCTGTTCCAGCTAAAGTACGTAAGCTTTAGGGAAACGGACATACGGGAGTTGCCATCTGTAGTTGTGATGCTACGTGATCTAGAGACGCTGGATTTAAGGGATACAAAAATCAGAGACTGGCCGGCCAGAATTGTTCAGCTCACGAAACTACGTCATTTACTGAGCGACATGGATCATGCGAAGATACCAATCGGGATTGGGAATATGAAAAACTTAAGGGAGATCACAGGCTTTGACATTACCATGAGTTCAGTAGGTGCAGTGAAGGAGCTAGGGAGCCTGATCAATTTGAAGGTACTTCGTGTACAGTGTGAAGAATCTCAAGAATGCAAGAGTCATGCAGAGATGTTTCATTCCTCACTATGCAACCTTGGCAGCCACAAATTGCAGTCCATGTGGATAGATGGTGGTAATTCAACTCTATTCGAGTTATTAGATTCCTGGTCTCCTCTTCCATCTTGCCTCCAAAGATTTCAGATGAGCACCGACTGCTGTTTCTCAAAACTGCCAAAGTGGATTAGTCCAGCACTCACCAGTCTTGCATACTTAGACATCAATTTAAGTGTAATAACAGAGGAGGTTCTTGGCATACTTGGAGAGCTGCCTGCATTACTTTCTCTGAAACTTTATACCAACACAGTCCATAAAGACAGGCTTGTTTTGCAAGGCAGAGGATTCCGATGTTTGAAGGAGTTCCTTTATAAACCTTTTGGTGAAGGTGCCGGGACTCTTCTGTTTGAGGAAGGGGCACTGCCAAAGCTCGAGAAGCTTGAGCTGTGGTTCTCCGTATCAGTGGCAAAGGCCTATGGGTTCTACTTAGGTATTGAGCACCTCCCGTATCTGAAAGATGTACTAGTTATTCTTCAGAAGCGGGATGCCACATCTTCTGAAGTTGAGGCTGCAGAAGTTGCCATAAGGAATGAAATAAGTCTCCATCCCAACCATCCCAGGTTATCTCTCTTCAAGGGATGAAAGAATGACTGGAGGTATGGCTACTTTTATTATTACGAAATTCAAATAGTTCATGCTGTCTGCAATCAGATCTATTGGTTTTCCCTAGAATATATTTGTATTTTCTCCATATCTTCAAGAAGCTTTCTGACGGGCTGACTCTCTCTTTAGGGCAACTGTTCTCCTTGGACACAACCATGGGTGGCTTGGTTGGAATGGCATCCTGAAGCTACTATTCTCGTTACCTGAAGCTCAAATAAAAGTGGTCTTCGTTACCATTGGACTCGTGATTTTCGTTGTTTCTTTGTGTGTGAACTAGGAATTTGTTTCAAGAGTATTACATTAACAAGGACTCTGTGTGTGTGGAGCTTTGTCTTTCAAGAGTTACTAAACACAAGGACGGCTCAGATTAGCTCATACCTCTTCATAAGTAAGGGCATGATAAGCATTTTTTATAAACTCTTCTTTTTTTAGAATCACGTATACGCTGTACATTAACGGACTATGCTGGGCTGGCCCATTCAGGATTCAGCACATTCGTCCTTTTTTTTTAAACCGCAAAAAAGGTGCTTGCTGCAGGATTCAAACCTAGGTCCTTCAACAATTAGCACAGCCGCAATAACCAGCTAGGCAACCGGACCTCTGCTGTCAAGTAAGTTTATTATACTTGAAATACAACACTGGAAAAGCGCAACATTTTCTGGTTGTTTTTTTATTTCTTTTTTGTTTCTTAAATGCGTGAAGTTCTTATAATTCGTGATTTTTTAATCGAAAATGACGACAAAATTTCAAATTCTTGATTTTTTTCTTTCAAATCAGTGAACTTTTCTTCACAAATTCGTGAACTAGCAAGTTGGCAATTTGCTTTTGAAAATTGTTGGTCTTTTTTATAAATTGATGAACTTTGTTTCTAAATCAATGGATTTTTTAAATTTTGTTATTTGTTTCCAAATCAATGAACTTAATTTGAATTATTGATGAACTTTTTTCAAAATCAATAAAAGAAAAGTAAACCAAAATAATATAGAAACCCATGTAAAAACTGAAGAAAAAACCAGCCCGGTTGAAAAGGAAAACCAGAGTCTTTCTTTTTAGCGTTATATTTGACGCACTATAGAAGATGGAAAAAAGAAACTTAGACCATGATCAACGGAGGTGTTCGAGTAGGCGAGATGGCTCCGTCTAAGAGCACATCGTTTCCCGACATGCTTGAAATGGTCCCAATATTTTTCATGCCTTGTATAACCTATTCGAGGCACCATGCCAAGTTATTTTGGTTTTCGACAAATTTCACATTTTTCGTAGTTTTCTTGGTAAAAAATGCTCGATAATGGGCGGTTGTATCGCAACTTGCATATGGTGTCAGAAATCGTACAAACCTCGCATGGATGACTACCATGGTCATGCCCACCTGCTTGAAAAGGTTGGGGTCATTTTAAGAATGTCCAAAAATAGCCCATGTTTAATGAAGGGGTGTTCAGGTTGGCTAGAAGGCCTCTACCTGAGGGTGCGTTGTTTCTCAACATCCTTCTAAAGGCCTAATTTTTTTCACCTCCTTCTATGACCAAATCAAGGCATCATGTCAAGTTGTTTAAGTTTTTTACAATTCTTTCAATTTCTAGAGTTTTCTCGGTGAAAACAAGCTGATAAATGGCCGGACGTGACACAACATGCATATGTTGTGGGAAATTCATTCAAACCTGGCATGGATGCCTACCATGGGCATGCCCGTCTACTGGAAAAGGTTGGGGTGATTTCATGCATGTTCAAAAATAGATCATGTTCAACAGAGGGTGTTCGGGTAGGCGAGAAGGGTCCATTTGAGAGCATGTTTTTGCGGCATCCATTAACTCACCCAAATCTTTCCATGATCTTACTCATTAAACGCACCATGCCAAGTTGTTTTGGTTTCGACAAATTTAACTTTTCCGGGGTTCTCTCGGTTAAAAAAGGTAGATAAATGGTCGACGTGTTGCAACTTGCATATTTTGTCAAAAATCATTCAAACCTGGCATGGATCCTTACCACGGGCATGCCCCTTGCCTGCAAAAGTTGGGGTCATTTAAAAAATGTTCAAAACTAGACCATGTTCAATGGAGGATGCACCCGGATGGGAATGACCATGGTAGGCAACCATGATAGGTTAAAGAATTTTCGACACCGTATGCAAGTTGCGACATGTTCGACCATTTTATCGATCTTCTTTTACAAAGGAAACTCCAGAAAATGCAGAATTTTTTGAAAACCAAATCAACTTGGCATGGTGCCTTGAATTGCTTGTAAAAGGCCATGAAAAAATTGGATCCATTTCTTCATCTTTTTTGGTGGGGAAATTGGGGCCATTTCAAATATGTTGAAAAATAACGTGCTCTCAGATGTGTTTTTTGGACATCCTTGAAATGACCCCAACTAATAAATACAAAGGGATAAAATTGAAAACAGTAAGTGTTTTTTAAAACATTTAATAAATATTTTATATTTTTATTAAATCACTACTTTAAAAAGTTAGTTACAACTTGTATTTTGGTATTCAAAAAAGAGAAAAATGAATTAACAAAATAAGAAATTAAATAAAAAAATAGAAAATAAAATAAAATGCTTAGGCCTTGGCCCAACTAGGCGATGACATTGCTCTCGTCGGGCATGTGTTGGGCCGGTCCAAGAGCTCACGGATTTGAAAAGTTCATCAATTGTTTTAAAAATATTCATGGATTTGAATATTTTCACAAAAAATCAAAACAAAGTTCACAATGAAATTTGCAAAAAAGTTTTCTCGGTCTTGGGAACCTCTGGTTCCCAGCCATTTTTTCCTGTTTTGGGACCTTCTCGGAGGTCGTGAACCATGTTTTTCTTTTTCTTTTTATCTTCTCTTGCGTTTATTTGTTTGTCTTCTTAGACTTTTCGTTTATTATGTTTATTTTTTCTATTTCTCATATATTTAAAGTTTTTCGGAATTCAAATTTTGTTCATATTTTTCTGTTTTTTCTGGAATTCCAATTTTTTTACTTTGTTCAAAAAATGTTTGTGTTCGATTTTTTTTAAAAAACTGTTCGTATTTTGACATTCTGAGCATGTTTGAAAGGCATGAACATTTGTTTTGAAATTTATGTACAATTTAAAAAAATACAAATATTAGTATTTTATGAACAAAACAGGAAAACTAGAAACCCTAAAGAAAACCGTGCAAAAAAAAGAGACATAAACTAAAGAGTGGAGGTGCTGTGTTTCTTTCTTGGGCACAAGAACTAGAAAACAAGCCAAAAAAGCAAATCTGATGTGCTGTCCCTGATGGTTTGTGCGGTTACACGAAGGGCGTCGGGGCTGTGGTTCGAAACCAGCCGGGGGATTCGTTTTTTGACAATTAAAACTAAAAAAACGTAAATGGGCTGAGCCCATGAGGGAGGGCTGTTCGCCGGGTATTATACGAACCTACAACGTATATACGTTCTATGTAGGAAAAAAATGTAGGAAAGTGAATACAATTTGTGAATACAAACCCGGAGTCCTTGTGCTCTAGGGTGCTAAAAGGACGCTATTTCCCAAACTCTGATTTTATGAGTGCTTCTGTGCCTCGAAATGCCTCCACGACATGGAAGGGTATCATAGCTGGGAGGAAGGCACTGGAAGCCGGCCTGCTATGGCGAATTTGTGATGGCACTTCTGTGAAAATTTGGACTGATCGGTGGCTGCCTGGAAAGCTATCTCTGAAGCCCTCAGTTCAGATTGGGAGCGCCAACCTTCACACCGTTTCAGACCTTATCGATACAGACAACTGGAGTTGGAAAGTTGATCTCATAAGGAGTAACTTCACCCCACCGGATGCCGATGCAATCCTGAACCTACCTCTCCGGCAAGGTGGTGGCGACGATTTCTGGGCGTGGGCTCATGAGAGGTCGGGATCCTATACTGTAAAATCTGCGTATTGTGCTCTAATGACTCGTAACGAGCAGTTGGCTCTAGAGGAAGGGACGATTACTGAAACTTCTGAGAATGATAAACAGTTATGGACTCGGCTCTGGAAGCTCAAGGTGCTACCTAAAGTCCGTGTTTTTTGGTGGCGGGTCCTTCGTGGCATCTTGCCGGTCGAATCAACACTGAAATACAAGCACATTGCTACTATGGCCCGATGCAAAATCTGCAAGGGTGCAGACGAAGACATGAAGCACGCTCTCATCAAGTGTTCTCATGCTCAAAGCTTCTGGACAGAAGCTAGGAAATGGCTCAATGTCAAGCTGCCACACCTACATCCGATCACTTAGTGCAAGGATATTTTGTGTGACACACGCATCACTGAAGGGGATCGGCCGAAGATCATCACTGTCATGTGGGCTATATGGACTTCTCGCAATAATATAACACATGACAGAGAGAGCCTGAATCCAGGCCAGTCCCTGAAGCGTATCCGAGAAGCCCTAATGCTGTTGGAGCTTCCCAAAGAAAATACCAGGATCTTGCCTGGTTATGGTTGGAGGCCACCTGATCCCGAGTGGCTAAAGATCAATACAGACGCTAGCGTCTCACTGACTGAAAACAGAAGCGGAGCGGGGGGACTTGCTCGCACCTCATCCGCCTTTGTTGCTGCCTGGAGCAAGCCATACCATCATGTCACGGATCCGCTCATCGCAGAAGCCATGGCTCTACGAGATGGAGTCATTTTTGGCAAGCTTCGAGGTGCTTCGCGAGTGGTGCTCGAAGTAGATTGTCTGGAGTTGGTACAACTCTGGAACTCGCGACAATTTTCGCGCTCTGTCATAGCGCCTATTCTTCTCGAAATCGAAGGGCTAGCCTCAACTTTTCTTAGTTTTGATGTTCATCATGTATTGAGACAAGCTAACAACTCAGCGCACCTCTGTGCAAATCATGCAAGCACATTGGGAGTGACTGATTGTTGGATGGACTCTCCTCCCGGTTTTCTAGTGACGAGCCTGATGGCTGATCGCGCTGGAGCTGTTTATGAGGGGGGTGTATCGAAGCACTTCTCTTCAGACAAAAATTGGTTCAGTCAAGAGTCACTCATGACG